TCTAATATACGCCATTTTAATGAACAAGAAACAGTGAATGAAATGTTGTTATGTAGGGAAAAACAATTTAATGCTGGTTTTAAAATCGCACTTACTACAATGAAAAAGAATCTGTTTTATATCAAAATCAATCTATGCCATTGCGAGAACCTCAGCATCAAAGACCGTGAAATTGATGGTGCCACAACAACATCACTTTCGAAGACAATTATTTATAACAAAATATACTTAAGACTACATCCGCTATTAAGCAGTTTATATAAACTATATTATATGCCATTTTAATAAACTAGAAACAGTGAATAAAATATTGTACGCAGGGAAAAAGAAGGTACCGCTGACTCTTAAAACCGACTTTACTACAATGTAAAAACAATCTGCCTCATATCAAATACATCCTATGCCACTGTGACAACGTCAGTAACAAGCAACGTGATGTTGATGGTGCCAGAAGAACATCAGATTCGCAGTTAGTTATTTATAACAAAAAAAAGTTAAGACTACATTTGCTATTAAGCACTATTATATGCCATTTTAATGAACTAGGAACAAGGAATGAAATGTTCTACGTAACGAAAAACAAGGTACTGGATATTTTTAAACTGATTTATTGCAAGGTAAAGACAATTCAAGAGTTTTATATTAAATTCAACCTATGCTATTGTGAGAACCTTACGAATAGGGAACGTGACGTTGATGGTGCCACAAGAACATCACCTTGAAGGTTAATTATTTATAACAAAATATGTTTAAGACTACTATCGCTATTAAGCAGTTTATATAAACTATATTATATGTCCTTTTAATGAACTAGGAACAGCGTATGAAATGTTTAATGTAACGAAAAACAAGGTACCGTTGATTCTCAAAACAGATTTATTGCAATGTAAAGAATATCTCAGTAAGTTTTGAATTAAACTGAATCTATGGTACCGTGAAAACGTAACCTCAGGAATAGGGAACGTGATGATGATGGTGCCACAACAGCATCACGTTCGAAGTTAGTTATTTATAACAAAATATGGCTAAGACTACATCCGGTATAAAGCAGTTTATATGAACCATATTATATGTCATTTTAATGCACTAGGAACAGTGAATGAAATGTTCTATGTAACGAAAAACAAGGTATTGGCGATTCTGAAAACAAATTTATTGCAATGTAAAGACAATCTAAATAAGTTTTGGATTAAATTGAATCCATGGTATTGTGAGAACCTGACCTCAGGAATAGGGAATGTGATGTTGATGGTGCCACAACAACATCACCTTCCAAGTCAGTCATTTATAACAAAACACGGTTAAGACTACTACCGCTATTAAGCAGTTTATATAAACTATATTATATGTCCTTTTAATGAACTAGGAACAGCGTATGAAATGTTTAATGTAACGAAAAACAAGGTATCGTTGATTCTCAAAATAGATTTATTGCAATGTAAAGAATATCTAAGTAAATTTTGGATTAAATTGCACGTATGGTACTGTGAAAACCTAACCTCAGGAAAAGGGAACGTGATGTTGATGGTGCTACAACAACATCACGTTCGAAGGTAGTTATTTATAACGAAATGTGGTTAAGACTACATCCGCTATTAAGCAGTTAATACAAACTGTAATATGTCATTTTAATGAACTAGGAACAGCGAATGAAATGTTCTATGTAACGAAAAACAAGGTATCGTTGATTCTCAAAACAGATTTATTGCAATGTATAGAATATCTCAGTAAGTTTTGGATTAAATTCAATCTATGGAATTGTGATAATTCAACCTCAGGAATAGGGAACGTGATGATGATGGTGCCACAACAGCATCACGTTCGAAGTTAGTTATTTACAACAAATTATGGTTGAAACTACATCCGCTATTAAGCGATCTATATAAACTATGTTATACGCCATTTTAATAAACTAGAAACAGTGAATAAATAGATATATGTAACGAAACACAAGCTACTGGCTATTTTTAAAACTGATTTATTGCAATATAAAAACAATCCATTAGTTTTATATTAAATTCAATCTATGCTCTTGTGAGAACCTTAAGAATAGGGAACGTGATGTTGATGGTGCCACAAGAACATCACGTTCAAAGATAATTGTTTATAACAAAACATGGTTAAGACTACACCCGCTATTACGCAGTTTATATAAACCATATTATATGCCATTCTGATAAACTAGAAACAGCGAGTAAAATATTGTATGTAGGAAAAAAGAAGGTACTGCTTTCTTATAAAGCTGATTTTACTACAATGTAAAAACAATCTGTTTTATATCAAATAGATTCTATGCCATTGTGAGCACCCCAGGAACAGGGAAAGTGATGTTGATGGTGCCACAACAACATCACGTTCGAAGTTAGTTATTCATAACAAAATATGGTTAAGACTACATCCGCTATTAAGCAGTTTATATAAACTATGTTAAATGACATTTTAGTAAACTAGAAACAGTGAAGAAAATGATCCATGTAACGAAAAGCATGGTACTGGTTATTTTTAAAACTGATTTATTGGAATATAAAGACAATCCATGAGTTTTATATTCAATTCAATCTATGTTCTTGTGAGAACATTAGGAATGAGGAAGGTGATGTCGATGGTGCCACAAGAACATCACGTTCAAAGTTAATTGTTTATAACAAAATATGGTTAAGACTACATCTGCTATTAAGTAGTTGATAGAAGCTACGTTATATGTCGTTTTAGTAATCTAGAAACAGCGAAGGAAATATTCGTGAAGAACTTCTCGACTAACGTCAAACTTATCTCTTTCGTCTTTATATGTCATACTATAACGGAATACATTGCAAATATATCCAATTTCTGAAAGTTAAGCCCTAGCTGGCCGTCGAATGTAGAACTGACTGCTGTAACATGACATGGCCGGAGAACCAGGTATTGCTGTACTGATTAAAATTATGCGATAGCATACCCATAAATTATCAGTGAAGGACAACTTGTTATAAAAGTATTTAGAACTGCATAGGTAGAAAAATACCATGTCGAATTACTGAGTGCAAATAATTAGCATTTCATCAAGTTACTAAAATTGAATTTAAACCAGAAAGCAAGAGTAAAGGAAGAGTAACGCATCAGTATTGACGATCTTCATGTGCAGAAGAATGGCAGAGACTAAAAGCAGAGTCCTAATGATACAAACAATTAGATGCTGATGATTGCTTAAAACACCCGACGAGGTAAACGGACTGGTAAGTTTCGACTTTTAAAGCAAGCAGTGTTTAGGAAATAAATAGAAATTCGTTACTGATCACAAGGCTGCGTGTTACGATTTTGAGGATTAAGATAAGCCAGTCGTTGAACATGCAGAAGTACGGCCAATAAGATGCTGTGGCTTCGAGTACGAACGCTATTGTGGAAGATGTCGACAAGCGGCTTATTTCTCAAGGAACACTCTGTTTAACTAATCCGTCATCTTTTATGCGGTAATCCAAATATCGTCTTGAACAAATTAGCTGACCTTGGCGCTAATCAATGTATAACTTGTTGGATAGCTAAATATCTTTCTACCAAACTTAGTTCACACGCTTGAGCAAGAGCAAGAACTTGACAATTATGGCGACAAATTTAGGTTTTCTTCATGATTTTGTCGAATGCCATTAAAACTTATTTTGAATGAGTGTCTGTTCGGTTGCCGGTCAGTTTGCGTGTCTTGAATACTGCATACTGTCGTTATAGCATACGTAAAACTGAAGGTGATATGAAATCACAGAAACGGTCAAATGTCAAAGGGCTAGGAGACGTTAACAATAGTCGGCACGAGGCTCAACAGACGTAATGAAAGGGCGAACGACTGGTCGAAAAGAAATGTTCAAAGAAAGCAAAACTCGGATGTAATGGCGCAAGCTAACGCATTGTCCGGAACAACATCAACAACCATGAAAGATTATCCATGCAACGCGATGGCGATTAGTCCCGACGGGCATCGGTCAGCTCAGAGAGAAAAGAACTGAAAAGATGGGGGATGAACGTTGACTCGACTTAAGTTCCTCATCTACCCACAACGGGAACAGGTCGTGTGAACGACAACAGCTCATTCATTTTATTATTTTCTTACTTAAATACTCATATATACATTACTCATATATACGTTGATACAGTAAGACGAAATGTCCTGCCAACAGCGGCGGTGAATGAATGACCGTGATGAATTTGCATCAGCCACTACATGCTTACATAAACTCCTGTCGTTTATTTGGATCAGTACGGTGTGTGGTCGTACCATCAATTTGTCTTTACCAGCGTAAGGGCAGTTTAAAGACGCCACCGCTTCATGGTATTTTAAACGGTACTCTAGGCGATTGTAGAAGCAACAGATTCTGAACGGTACGACTGTGCCGTTCCAACCCAATGAAGCGATAGCAGATCGTTACTCTTGCAGGCCGCGTGAAAAACTACCAGTTGCTAACAAATCCTTACTATCGGGATGAAGCCTTTATTGTTTAAATGCACAATAAACTTGTCAAGAAGTTCAGACATGATTGCATGATTCCCACCCGAATGCCATGTCAAGTTTAATGTGCAGTTTATACAATAAGTTTCATACCACATCGATATGACATTTCAAAACCAGATTACACTTCAAACTTTAAACTTTTAAACCGAGCAAGACGAATCAGTGTGCACGTGTCGCTCTGGAAGCTTTCTGGATAAGCATGTCCGACAGAGCAGTGCTAAGCTTCGACAGTGACTCGTCGTCCAATGAAACACGGTCTCAACATCGTCCGTGTCCCAGACTGATTCCTGACAAACTAACTGTTCACAACGAAACGAATGAATTAATCCATTATCACTTCGTAAGTAATTTTCCTCATCTGATAACGGTGGAGCCGGTATGCTTTCGAGTGCAAGGCACAGACGAAATTGAGGTTCATATCCAAATAGTGCCATCGCACCTCAAAGCAGACGAGGTTTTCTCTATTAACGAAGCGGGGACGTTGAAGACATACGCATCCACAACAAACATATGCCCAGATCGGATGGGGTATTTTTCGTCAGAATTACTCCCTGACTCGTACCTGGTGCACACCTTCGCGCTACACATAAACAATGAGTGGTTGTTGAGCCAACTGTCGTCACGGGATGTAAGCGACGACGTGGAGAACGTAGAGGATTATCTCGATCTGGACTACAGCCAAATGTACTCGGATGTAAATGTCGATGAACAGCTCAACGAGTACAAACAGTACTACGACAACGACGAAGACATTTTGTCGGATGTGATCAAAAAGAGACGTGTTAGCGACATCGCCGAGTCATTCTCTTCATCCGTCGAGAACATATCGCTGGAAATGAGATGGACAGAAGAACAGGATACAAGCCTAGCTTTGTCCGAACGACTCAGTGAGCTGGAGTGTTTACTTGAAAGCGAGGATTCTCAAGAATCAGAGGAGGATTAGGAGGAACGCTATCAACCCGAAGTCACCCATGAAAAAATGCAGCACCCGTCGTGAAGATCTGGATTAGCAGTCGTCTGAATACCTCTCTCTGAGAGAGAGAGAGAGATTAAAATACGTATATAATATTTTGTTGTTCAATGAGCCTGTTTCCAAAAATTATTAAAAAATAAAAATGTTATACTTTCTGCTTAAATTTAAAGTTGGCCAGTTCATGTGGACCAATGATAATTTTGCCGTTTATATCCCAGGTAGGTCAACGTATCACGAGATCACATGGGGTTTAGGGTCTGCTACAAGACTCGTAGAACTT